GCAACTTTTGCAAGAAATACTATTCCTCCCTTGCAGATGAATCCCATAACACAACTTAGATAAAAGTGCTCAAGTGAGATCACCTAAAGGCTGTTACTACTACTGTGTCCAAAAATGTAAGAGGAAGCATTTAGAAATCTGAAGCTCAAGGAGAATAAATTATAACTTGTCCTTACCACTCGCAAGGTGCTGCATTAGCTGAAGTTCAGGGCATTTAAGTTAAGACAAGGGAGGCAGCAGTGCTTGTATTTGTTTTCAACATGTCTCCAACACAGTCACATTATAGAGTTTAGAACTGTAATATATGGCAGGAAATATTTTATTTAAAATCTTGCTATACTGACAACTATCCATTGCTGAATGACCAAATTCTGTGGAGAATTTAGGCAATCAGAATTAGAAACAAGAATTCACTAATGGAATAGCTAAGCAGACTCATTCAAAGCAGAACAGACTCAAAGGGTAAGGGGTAGGAATTCTTTTGTTCTCTCTATATGGAACTTTCTAGGCTGCAACAAGTGCTCAAGATTAAAATTAAGTGTTTTTATTTTTGTTGTGCTAAAGGCATTTCAATGGGGGGGGGTCATTTAGAATGACAATCCATAGAAAATATAAAAACTTATAAGTTAAAAAAAATCTGTTTATTGTTAAAAAAAAATAAGTCATCAAGGCTAACTGGGATGTGAGGTGCAGAAGTCTGCTATCCCAGGAAAACACAGGATGGCAGCATTAGCATCAGCATGAGTGATATGAAGTAGCTAAATCTGATTTTTAAACTGTTCTCTCCAAAAGTAAAGCAGATGCATACTCAATCTCACAATTACAAAAAAGGGACTGTGAATTCTATATGAACACTATAAATTAGCATACAAATATCAGCTTTAAGGGGAATTTTTTAGAACCACTTACTGCAAAATTTATTGCAGGTGGAAAATACTGGGAAAATAATGGCCCATTATTGTTCTCCTAAACATTGCCAATTTAAAGAAAGCCCTTGATTGCTTTTAGCACTGACACTAAAACTTAAAGCCATAATAAATTCAGTACACAAACGGGTTCCAAGACTAGCCCTATATCCCCACAACGTTGACTGAGGTACTTCTATAAAAACTCGAAGCTGTAAGCAAAGAGTTCAGATGTGGTTCACTGCAATGCAATACTGTATCTGCTTTTTTAATTCACATCCTTCAACTTCAATTTAGAAGGTAAAAAGCATATGGCAAATAAAATGCCAAAATACTATTACCAGTTAATAGCTTTGCACTTGATCACTTCATTTTCCATACTTTTTGTTATGTGAAAACTTTGAAATCTTGACAGTTCCTACTTACACTTTGTTCACAATCCATGCTACAAGGAAAACAAGTCTATAAAATGATTTAAATTGTTTGTTCCCCTTATATTTCAAACATGGAAAGTTTCTTCAGAACATACTACTAAATCCCTTCCTACTGACTCAGAAAAATTGACACTAGTATGTTTCACAAAAGCAAGATGGCTCAAACTGCAATTTTGTTTGCTGACTAGGGCCTGAAATAAAGAGAAATTGGATTCTATCATCAGTGGGGAGATATCTTCAAAGCATATCAGTCCTTTAAAATTGATTCTTTTAGGAGGCAGACCATCTCATGGATGATTCAGTCTAACACTGCCTTGACATAAATATGTCCTGATGATTTAGAGAGCAAGAAAAGCTGGTCCCTTCCCACTGATTACACATTCCTCATAAATTTTCATTATTGGCCTTAAAATGTTCATATTAACACTGAATGCAAATAATGGAAAGGGAAAAGGTATGCATGGTAAACTGATGTTCTGTAAGATTTCTACAAACTACAAACTCATTTTCTAGTCACTGAACTAGGAAGGGAAAATATCACTTAACTGTGCCCCCTTTAACTGGTGCCTTCATCAACCTTAAAAGGTTAAAGCACTTGCTAATGTATACCTATGAAAAATTCACTGTCACAATTCTACCTCTTATGACCCTGCATACATTACAACAGTGCATTAGTGATACAAATTGTAAAATACTTTTCGGCGCCTTTGGATTTTGCATATGACATTTTTTTGCATCAGTCACAGCAAGTAGATTGAGCAAGCTCTGTGAGTTTTAGACATGCATTCAACTAGATATGATCAATGAATTTATACTCCCTTTAATCATTATAATTAGCTAAAAATTGCAAGACAGTCCACAAAACAGGATTTGATTTAAGACTAACTGTTGGAGTTCCAAGATGTAAGATATGCAGAACTGGGAAATTTTCAGTGATCTGAAATTAGTGTTTAGCAAAGGGTTGCAAGCGTTCAGAAGAAGTAAGTCCTGGTTGGAGGCATGAGGGCTTCAGCACCAACTTTTAAACCTCAGTTACTTGATTGCATATCTCCCATCTTCAAACCTGCATTTAAACAAGGCAAGAAGGCAGCTAAGGAATAGCTCAATTTAGTTTATGACAACAGTCGCAAATACATTCCATATTCCAAATACAGACTGTATTGAGATAATTCATACAGTGGTTATGTCCAAATTCAGGCCTATTATTCTGACTCAAGAAAAAGAGGTTACTTACCTGTAACTATGGTTCTTTGCGTGGTCATCTGTGAATGCATACTAATGGGTTTACCGCGCCTGCGCAGAGCAGCCTCAGAACATTCCAGAACTTAAGCACATGGTGCCGGGACCTCCCACACACTACCCTTAACCCTGCCCGACACAGAGTGCCTCAGTTCCGAAGAACAGTCCACCGCTGCACAGCATGCAAAAGGCACACATGATGGACAGTGGGGAGGAAGGTCGGAAAGTGTGAATTCACAGATGACCACTCAAAGAACCAGAGTTACAGGTAAGTAACCTCTTTTTCTTCTTCGTGGTCTCTGTGAATGCACACTAATGGGCGACTAGCAAGCTGACTTGCCCGGGGGAGGGATATCAAGGGGTACCGAAGCCAGAACAGCACAGCCCACAGTAGCTTCTGCTTTGGCCTGGACATCCATCCGATAATGGGATGCAAAGGTAGACAGTGTAGCCCACGTGGCTGCCTTGCAAATGTCAGAGTGGTCCACCCCTCTGAAGAACACCATGGAGGAAGCCACAGCACTGGTTGAATGGGCCTTCACAGTGCATAGCAGAGGCGTCTGGGCCTGTTCATACACCAGTCGGATAGTTGAGACAATCCACCAAGAGATCGTCTGGGAAGTGACTGGTGTCTCTCTGGATTGGCCTGATAGCTGACAAACAGCCTGGTTGAGGTGTGGAAGGATGCGGAGCAAGAGATGTAGTAGGAGAGTGCCCGCTTGACATCCAGGGAGTGCAGAGAATGCTCAAGATGTGAAGTCAGTGCAGGGAAGAATGTAGGGATACTGATAGGTTGGCTTAAATGAAAATAGATGGCCACCTTAGGTACAAAGGAAAGGTCCGGATAGTGTGTCACCTTGTCCGGGTGGAACTGAAGGAAGGGAGGATCCACTCTAACAGCGGCCAGCTCTCCAGCCCGAGATGCAAAGGTAATGGTGAGGAGGAAGGCAGTCTTCAGGGTGACCAGCAGTTCAGATGCCATAGCCAGGGATTCAAACAGAGGCCTCATGAGGCGATTAATCACAAGTTGAAGGGACTACTGTGGGGTAGGAAGCTTGTAAGCCAGACACATGTTCTTCAAGCCACGCAAGAACTGTCTGAGAGTAGGATGGCAGAACAACATTGCTGCTTTTGAAGATGGTGGCTGATAAGCCACTACTGCCGCCATATAAACTTTCAGTGTGGAATTAGAAAGGCCATGCTGAAAAAGATGGAGGAGGAACTGGAGTACCGAATCGAGAGAGGTCGGGCATACAGGTAAGTGGCATGAGGATGCAAATGTACAAAGGACTTTCTATTTGTAGGAGTACGTCCGTGTAGTAGAGCGCTTTAACGCATGACTTAAGACGTCGGCTACAGTAGGGGCAGCTTCCACATCGTTCAATGAAGGGAGTCTACGTTCAGTAGGAGTACGTCCGTGTAGTAGAGCGCTTCCAGGCATGACTTAAGACGTCGGCTACAGTGGAGGCAGCTTCCACATCATTCAGTGAAGGGAGTCTAAGTTCAGATGAAATGTCCTGTCATGATGCAGGGTCAGCAAGTGGGGAATTGCTGGAGATGGAAATGGCCCACTGCTCTCTGATGAAGGGTGGAGAATCACAGCTGGCAGGGCCACCACGGGTCAATCATGACAACATCTGCATTGTTCTGGCGGACCTTGTGATGGTAGTAGGCATTGGGTGGCACAGGGTGATACCGATGGGCTTCAAGCTTGGCATGAGGCTCCAAGTGATGGGTCTTCTGTTCTTTTTCCTAGAAGCCTCCACCGGCACCGACTCCGGGGGCAACATTGAAGCCTGCCCCAATATCGAGCCTGGATGAGAACACGGGCTAACCTGCGCCAACTGTACAACCTCAGCCGAGATATGTTCCCAGTCAAGTGACTGATTAAATTGCGGGGATGGCGCAGCCTCTGGCATTGGGGACGGAACATCCTCAACCCCGAAGGTATGCTAAGGCATACCAACTCCTGCCGGGATGTATCAGTGGCTGTTGGCAATGGCATGGTCTTCTCTGTCATTCTCCCAGGCTTCTGCAGCTTCTTCTTTTTCTTCAGCATCGATACCGAGGGAGGCTTCAGTGTCGATACCATAGCCATTGACCTTGACCCAGAGGAGGAAGCTTCAACACAATTTTAGGTCTTCAACGCCATTTTAGGTCCTTTCAGGGCCTTAAGGAGATGAAGAGCCTGAGATTGGAGAATGCCCCACAGCCTGGGTAGATTCCATGGGGCCCCCTTGAGACGGGGACAGCGACTTCTCCCACAAAAAGGAACGGAGATGCTGAAGTCTCAACTTAAGAGACAACTTCATAAGGTTTACAAACCGCACAGCGAGTCGGCTGGTGTTCCTCTCCTAAACAAAACAAACAGTGGGAATGCCTGTCCAAGAGGGCTATTTTGTTGGGGCAGGTCTGACACCTCTTGAAGAGGCCTGGAGCAGCCATAAACAAAGTCATGGCTCTTCTCACACAAATAACAGTCCAGTTTTTCTTTCTTTAAACTCACAAGAAGAAGAATCATTGAACTGTCTGAGTCAAAAATCCGGGAGGTCCAAGAAAAAGGTAAGGTCTTTTTTGAAATAGAAATGGAAAGCTCCTAACCGAGGTGCTGCTGGAGTGGTGGCAAGAACGGAACTGAGGCACTTGGTGCCGGGGTTAAGGGTAGTGTGTGGGCGGTCCCGGCACCACGTGCTTAAGCTCTGGAATGTTCCGAGGCTGCTCTGCACAGGCACACTAAACCCATTCATGTGCATTCATAAAGACCACGAAGGAGAACATGTAGTTTCATTGTTGGTATTTGGCTGAATTCTCCAAATGCCCTCCTCATTCCTACTTAGGAGTTCACCTTCCGACTTAACCTAAACTGTGCATAAAAGGCAGGAATCCAATGATTCAGAGTGAATGACTTTACACAGGGACAGTATCTTTTGTGTTAATAGGCAAAACCCTGTTGCAACTGAGTATGCTAAAGTAAGCTGCAGTTAGAATAGGCTCATTTCAACCAATGAAACACACTAAGGAAGTGACTCGCCCAGTTTCCATTAATTCAACAGTGTGACTTATGCTAAGCAACAGGATTTTGGTCAATGGTACAGGAATTAGTCTATCAAAAGGGGTTTGGCCTCTTCACTCTCAATACATATTTCCATCACTGGAAATAATTATTGTCTGACAACAGCTAGAAGCTCTTCCAGCATTAAGACATGGATCGGACTACTTAGAAAAGAGAGGGCCAATTACCTTCATATTTCTGAGCTTTGCCCTTTCAGTTTAGTTAAAGAAGAAATGGAAAAAGAATTGCAGCTATACAGAGCAAGTGAATGAGGAGTCACTTCTATAACTTGAATGCAGCAATCGTACTTACTTTACACAAATATAAAAAACAACTATTACAGTACTGAACATTTGTTAACCTGTTTCCAGTTTTCAATTTCTAAGCTAGGTATTTGGGAAACTAACATAACAGGAAGTTCAATTGCATACACTCCTGCATGACCAGATGTACACCCATATAGTTTTGGATGGATTTGAGAAACAACCACCATGTAGCTGCCTCTACTACAAACAGATGGAGGCATGAAATCTGGCTAATACTTTAGAAACCAACAGGAACAGGATTGAACATGGAATTCTTCTGGAGTATCTTTCCAGAGGACACCACAATATAGTGGCTCCAGTTCTTCCTTCCTCCAGAAGACAGTACACAGAGACCTGTTTTTCTCTCATCTCAATGCATTAATTCATAAGGCAAACATATTAGAAATGTGTAACTTTAGCCAATTTATTTTAATTATAAGGTTAGCAACACTAATGTGCACTTTTTTTAAAAGGACCTTTCTGAAAGATTTCTGGGAATTATCTCCTGCTAGGCCATATTAACAAAAGAGGCAGAGATCAATCACAGCTACACAGTTCCAATTCACAACACTGAATTGAAGAATAATTGTACCTAACATTTAAGTGTCCTTAACCTCCAGGTGGTCACAGGTAGCTCCTCAATAATGGAACCTTGCCATTTGCTGAAGTATACTAACAACTGGTTAAGAATAATACAAAGAACCATGTAAGAACACTACTCAGAAAGACAAGCTACAGTTTTTGAAAAGCATTATTTCCAGAAGCAAGCAAAGCACAAGAAACAAGACCATGACATCCTATTTAGGTTATGTTCTAGCTGTCAAGGACTTGACAAAAATTCTGACTAGCCGATGATTTTTCAGAGATCTCAAGTTTAAACCTTCTATGGTTATTACAAAATACACCAGTACTTACACTGTGTGGTAATCACCACTGAGGGGGCACATAGCTATAAGTTGGAGTTCCCGGGGCCCGATAAGTGGGCATTGTAACTGGGTGTGGGGCTACCGGAGTGGGGGAATGTGTTGTCAACAAGGTACCTGCAGAGAGAAAAATATTTTATTATTAATTATTTTGGATTGATATATTTAACTTTGGTTTAATTTTAATTTATAGTTATTATGTTTAGCACCTTTTAAGTGTTGCTTGCTTTACTGTGTTGTGAATCACAGAGGAGTGGCCTTGGTAGCCAGATGGGCAGTATTTAAAAAATAACAATATGTTATTTACCATGTGGGAACTTATATACATCATTAAGATCACTTTATTGCAAGATGGGAAGTAAGTCACGATAATAGCTATGCCCCACAAGACTGTGTAAGAAATATCCATATACCTGCTGACATTGCCATTGTGGTCCCAGCCACCATTCCCATAGTGACACCATTTCCTCTGGGCGGTGGAATTGGAGCTGGATACATAGTTGCCGGCATTCCATTAGGCTGCACAACTGTAGTGTGATGAATTACGTGGGGTGGTGCTGCATATAAAGGCTGTGTGTAGTAAGTGCCTTGCTGTTGAGAAAAAAAAGTTTATTTACTTTAATCCCTTAATGATCTTAACTTATTCATTTTTGATCCTAGTTTGACAAAAATGACATTAACTACACTAACATAAACAGGGAGAGATGAAAGGCAAAAGATAAAACTCTTCTATTTTGCTTTGGAGGAGCCTCAATTTTTTAGTCTAGGTGAGAACTACAACTTTCAGAAGAGATAGGAATGCCGTATATTTGTCAATGTACAGCTCAGAGAGTTAGATATTTGGGTGCAGAGCTAGACACTGAGAGTTCAATTCCTCACTGTGCCTCCTGGAAGAAGAGCTAGCCAGTCAGGCAAACTGCATATTTCCACAGTGCCCCGAGTAGAACAGAGTGGTAAACCACTTCTGAGTGCTCTCTACCTAGAAAACCCTGGAAAAGGTCACCATAAGTCACTTTAAGGTCCTCAGCAGACCTAGATATATGTGTGGTGGCTCACATTTTCCTTGATACAAGTTTCTAGTATGACAGCTGTCTCTTTATGTAAAGGGGCTCTTTTTGCATGAAGTATTGTGCAAGCCTCCAGCTGCATTTCAGATGCAGGTTTAAGGTCCTCAGCAGACCTAGATATATGTGTGGTGGCTCACATTTTCCTTGATACAAGTTTCTAGTCTGACAGCTGTCTCTTTATGTAAAGGGGCTCTTTTTGCATGAAGCATTGTGCAAGCCTCCAGCTGCATTTCAGATGCAGGTTTCCCACCTCAGTGATAACAAGGCCTGGAAGATTATTTGTGAACAGACATGGAGTGGAAGAGTTACAGGGCACCAAGGAAAAGGAAGAATCCAGCCTCAAGAAGTGAACTGGGACAAACAAAAAGAGAAGAGTGGCTGTGACGGTACAGTCTTCATTGTTATCTCCAAAAAGTTTCGGGTTATATATATGCATACACATACATACAGTGGTGCCTCGCTTAGCGACGTTAATCCATGCAGGAAAAAACGTTGCTAAGCGATTTCAACGCTAAACTGATATTAAAAACCCCATAGAAACACATTAAAACGCCATTAATGCATTCCTATGGGCTTCAAAACTAAACTTAAACGAAAATCCTCAATGGGGGGGCCATTTTCAGTGCCTCTAAAGCGAGACAACACAGCGGGCGGCCATTTTGTTTTTCCAGCAGCCATTTTGAAACTGCTGATCAGCTGGCCGAAAATGGGGGCTTTGCGGTGATCACTTCCCTGCAATCATCGCAAAGCGAATTTTCCCCATAGGGACCATCGCTAAGCAATCACTTTTGCAACTGCTTAAACCCCGTCGCTAAGCGATTTCATCGCTTAATGGAGCGATCGCTAAGTGAGGCACCACTGTATACATAAATTAACAAGTGCACTAACATTGTCAAAGACTTTTGCATAGTCAATGAAGCAGAAGTAGATGTTTTCCTGGAACTCTCTTGCTTTCTCTATAATCCAGCGCATGTTAGCAATTGGGTCTCTAGTTCCTCTGCCCCTTCAGAATCCAGCTTGTACTTCTGGGAGTTCTCGGTCCACATACTGCTGAAGCCTACCTTGGAGGATTTTGAGCATAACCTTGCTAGCGTGTGAAATGAGTGCAATTGTACGGTAGTTGGAGCATTCTTTGGCACTGCCCTTCTTTGGGATTGGGATGTAGACTGATCTTTTCCAGTCCTCCGTCCACTGTTGAGTTTTCCAAACTTGCTGGCATATTGAGTGTAGCACCTTAACAGTGTCATTTTTTAAAGATTTTAAATAGTTCCACTGTGCAGCACACTGGATGTGTTTAAATGCAACAATAGCCCAAATCCTGTTGTTTAGCATACTAGATTGCACTAGAGAAGGTTGACTGAGTCAATGGAGATTTGGTATATAAATTCCTCTGCAGGTTCCATTGATTCATGTGGGCCTACTTTAACTGCAACTTACCATGATAAAGTAAAAGTCACAACCAAAGTAGACTCACTGAATCAGAGGCACTTAGAGACATCTGACTCAGCAAATCCCCATTGATTCAGTGGCCTACTCTAGTGCAATTATGCTAAGCTACAAGAGTCTGATCACTGTGTCAGAAACACACAGAATCCTGCCTAACTGTTCATGAGTACTATGCTAGTACACATTGCTCCATCACTCTCAACTGCCTTTTCTGACCCATGGCAAAGTGTTACATCTGAATCAGGATTCTCTGTAACTACTAAACAAGCCATGAACTGACACCTCTCCCATCAGGTTTCATATTTTAGCTTGTTAGGGGAGCAAAAAATTGGAGGCTCTGTTCAGATTCAATTCCATGCTTAGCTTTCTGGTTTGTTTTGCCACCCCCACTAGTTACCACAGTAGGATCCCTATATCCATGAGGACTGGTTCCATGATCTACTGTGGATGCTTGAAACTGTGGAGTAGCAAACTTTATATACAATATATAAGGGGGCAGGACAAAGGCCTCAAGCCCTGTCCTCTGTATATTGTATATAGGACTGCAGTAAACTGCAGATACCTGAAAGTGTGGATACCAATTCCAGAGATATGAAGGTCCTACTGTACTAAAGAAGTACAATCAGTCATGCTCACCAGCATACTGCTTGTAAATAATAAACCGCAATTCACTGTTATTGACATACTGTTACATGTGAACCTTATTATATAGAACGCCAAAAAGAGAGAAACCAGCATCTTCCCACCTGTTATAGAATCAATGCAAAACAACAAATCTACACATTTTACCTGTGCATATGGATTCTGCTGTGGATAGGCACTTCGAACCGGATACACTGCAGTTTGGTAGGGATTGGGTGAAGAAGAGTAGGGAGGCACTGCACCACTGGTGGGTGAACAAGAGACTTTATATGGTGTGCCTGGTGTATAACCTGTAGAAAGGAAGGCAGTATAAATACAAGCTTTCTCTTGCGCTATCTTAGTCGGACTTTGTAAACTCTTGTCAACAAAAACATGGACTTTATCTGCAAATTCCAGAAGTGTTCTATTAAGACACTCCAATTCACACATGTTTTAAATTGCTTTAGTAGCCTCATATGGAATAAGAATTAGCAATGCTAATTAGGTTTTCTAATAAATAAAAACAAGGTAAGTCTCTTGTTTCAGTTTACATAATTTAGTGATAAACCCAAAGAGTAAAAAGTGGTTCAGTTACCAAGGTTGGTAAGGAAAAAAATTAAGATTTTACCTAGAAATGCTAAGCACATTGTAATTGGAAAAGTATTAACATGCTGACTCATATTTTGCTTAAAAACTAATAAAAGAATATAAAATATTATGTTGCAGCTGATTCTTTGGTATTCTTATGTGGTATGTTCTTTGATAGGAAAAATGTTATCACTGTGAAGTAAAATATTACACAGTGTATATCCTGTAATATTATTTGGTACTGAAATTAGATTTTGGAATGTTTTAAGAAAAGAATGATTATCCTGATTCACACCTTGGCTTCAATGCAACAGTTTAGTGCATCTTGAGTTGCAAAAGTGTAAGAAACACAGCATAATTCAGATTAAAGGCAGTATGCAAATGTGTTAAAATTCAATTTAATTTAATTCAATTTAATGTTGGAAAAATAAAAATGTTCTGTAAAGCTGATGAACCAGGTTTATTTAGTGGTGCAATTGTACCCTAATGTTACACTAGCTTGACAAATATAATATTGCTATGAATTTCCTTCTACCAGTGTGCCAGTATCATTATCACAACTAATTTTAATTTATCAATAAGCACTGCATTGATACAACTCTAATGACATGGATAGAAGAGGCAGTGTAAGGACTAGAGCTTGGAACATGACTTCAGTTAAAAGATTTAAGGGTTTCAACATTAGCTTCGACTTTCCCTGTAAGCATACAGAGCTCAAAATAAAAATAATCAGCAAGAAGATCAATTCCACTGCTGCAGGATACAAACTCTAATTCTCAATAACTTGTGAGACTGGAACAGCACAGACTCTATGCAGGTAGATACAAGGGGGCACAGAAGTTAGGGGAACCATGCCCCAAGATCCCCTGAGCACATTCCACACCCTATGATAATCTACAAAATGAATGGCTGTGCATGCATCCCAAATATGGATAGTATGTAGGTGACAGGACTCCCCATCTCCTTCTGAGCATCCTCAACTGTGGTAAATATATACAGTACTAATAAATATTGCCCCTGTATCTTTCAAAAGGCAGTCATTCAACATGTAAAAGGAAGGGGGGAAAACACATGATACAACAATACAAGAAATTCAGCAGCTTTAAAAAAATGTCTACAGTATTAAGAAAAGAAGTATGAGTAGCATTTTCAAACAAAGGAGTTCGGCAATAATAAAAACATTGGCAATATAGTTCTTTCACGCTAAAACTCACTCCACAAACCATTGTTCCAAATCCAATACTTCAAGGGTTTGACTTTTACAATATTTCTGCATACATACCTGTTTGGAATGTAGGATTTGCTGCAGGATACATATTAGGAGAGTAGGCAGGAGCAGCAGCTGCATAGCCCATTGGGAATCCAGCTGGGAAAAAATGGTTGAAAGCTACTTTCAGAATTACCAGCAATGTTCTATCAATAAGACTAATAAAATAATTTAAATGTGATTTTATTGACCTATAGCTCAATGATGTAATGAAAACCATAATCAATATGGAAAAGCCTCATATTGGCCAAAATCCTGTCACTTATGTAGTAGGTTTCACTGGAGTATGGCACTGAATTAATGGGATTTGGTGACTTAATTCCTTCATCAATTTTATTGATTCAAATGGGCCTACTCTAAGTTAGAACCTAATAAGCTACAACCAGAGAGTAGGCTTATTTGAGTCAATGAAATTTTCAGAGTTTACTCATCAAACTAATGTCCCTAGACTAGTGTGACCTGCTACACTCAGCAACAGGATTTCAGCCACTGCAAACCCTCTGAACCCATTGCTACATTCCTGTCAGCAAGTTTGCTGACAGATGCTAAACCCTGAAGCAGAGATCACAGTTCCAGCTACTAACCATTTCCTGTCAATCCATTTGTTATCAAAGTTATCTGTAAAGTTGTTAAACCAAAAGCTTTATTGAGAAAGTCACAAAACAACTAATTTCAATTTAAATAAAAATCATTTATTCTAATATCTTATTCCAGCAAAATGTAACTAAGACAACAGGAACAGAAGGGACCTACACAAACACTTCAAAAACATCAGTATTTTCCATGTGGCTTCCAACTTATCTCAAATTTTAGCGTTCTACTACTGGATGAAATCCCCACTGTTACAATAGGCCTACTCTAGTTGCAGCTTACTAGGCTAGGTAACAGTATTTCAGCCACAGAATGACAACCTGATTAACTACCATTTGTTGTTTCATATATTTCCGACCTAAATGTAATGTTATAACTGCTTCCAAAACTACTGGAAACTCTGTGTTGCTGTGTAATATACAGAACAATCCTATACATGTGTGCTGATATGTCCAACTGAATTTAACCACCCAGGTTAAATGTAAATAGGACAGCAATTAGACATTATTTGAAAATTCTAATAATACCTCACATTACATATATTATACACAGTCACTTCATATGTAGCTATATATCAACTTCACTGCGTACAATCTATGTGCACAAGGAAGTTGTGGTCAAGTGTGGTTGACAATCAGATGCGTATGTTTTAACTGAAATATTATTGTCTTAACCCATAAAATGCACAGCCAACCAAGGTTATCTACAAGGACATTTTTTTACAGCTTTTGATTTTACTTTCATCTGATCCTGAGCCATTAAACATATCTTCAGATGTCTAATGACTGAGATTATAGAATATCTCCTTTCCCACAACAGTCATGAGAGATATAAAAAGATGCTCCAAAAGTCTGAAAGTAAACCTATGTTTCTGGATGGCTTCACAGTAGATTAAGAACAGACTGCCTCTATGGTTCCGACATGACAGCATTCAGATCCAGTTAACACAGCAATTATCCTGTTAGATTAACATGAACGTATAAGACAGTATGTTTAAAATACTTGCATACCTGGATAACCAATTCCTTTGGCATTTGCATAGGGTACCCCAGAAGATCCAGGACTATAAACAGGATTCATGATTTCACTAACTGTGGGGGGTAAAGTAACAATGTGTGAAAAATAGGAACCTCATTTTTTCCTATAACATATTCAGGATATACTATTTGCTACAAGATAATTCAGAAGCAATGTCAGAGTAGCTACTGCTATATTAAAAAATAAGCATTTCTCAGAACAGCTTTAATGTATATCAGAAAGACAAAAAGGATACATCTCTATTATACTTATGATTCCAAAGAGCTGTGCATAAGAATATTTGAAAAGTGAAACTAACCAACAGCTTTTTTGACACTACTTTTAGAAGTTACACTTTAGTATACAGTACATAGTAAATCACAACTAGAGTAGGTCCATTTAAATCAATGGAATTTACAGAACAGTAGCCTCACCAAATACCCACTGATTCAACAGGCCTATTCTAGTGTGGCTTAGCAGTAACTTAGGATTTCAGTCATAGTATAACACAGAATATCATGGAGAAAACATGCCTAGCTCTTATTTCATTGGTAAATTTAAAGCACAATGCTTGGTTAGCTAGAGGCATGAAAACAGCATTCCACAATAGTTAATTGCCTATAATTTAGAAAACTAATTATCTGTAATTTGTGATTGTAGAATCCTTTAATATACACCATTCTAGCTCTCTTATGAAACTACAGGACCTCAATTCCACTGCAGCTTTCTGCTTGACTGTAAGAAATGTTATTCCTCTCAGATGGGTTGAACGCCTTATCATCTTGATAAAATTATCCTTTCACGTTAAATTTAATTGTCCGAGTTTATCCATTAGTTTTACAGTGAACTACAAAATCTATAGAAAATGCACTAATGGAATAAAATGTATAGCATTAGAAAATATTTTATTTATTTGAACTATTTCTTTTGTTACATCACAGTGAGATTAGAATGCTGTATTCATGCTAAAGGTTCCCTATAGCCTTTGCCTAGTGTTATTTATGGGAAATTTTAGATAAAAACATTAGTCAGTACTCACTATAAAAATGTGAAAAATCACTCAATGACCAGAAGATTTTACTCCTTTATCTACAATTGTTAGTAAGTGTTTCCATCCAGACACTTTCTGGGACATATGAACTGCTTACTGTATATTAATCTGTGTGCTTAACATATAGCTTGATCCTCATTACTGTAACTGAAAATATGTTTCTTTTTTTCCTCCATTTTTTAATCTTCCCATTTTTGCTCATCTCATTTTTACATACCTGCAAAAAGATAATCAATGAGGAGTAATAATAAAAATCAGTGTAGTTTGTTCTGACCATGTCACTGTAAGAAAAAAAACTGGCTGCATTCTACACTAGGCCACAGACTCATGTAGAATCCACTAGAATACTGTCACATGGATGTAATCAGTACATGCATGATTTCTAGATAGGGCCACTGCAGATACAAAACTTTAGACAGCTAAGAGGCATCCTATTTACCACCTGTGTTTCTACAGATGGTGGCAAGAACTTCCAAACTGATAATGTAGTGATTCATGGGAGTATACCCCAAACTCAACCTAGCAACACACCCTCAGGGATCCTTGGTAAATGGGATCAAAGATCATCAAGAAATTCAATAAAATAGGCTTAGGAATCCTATCCACACTTCTACTATGAAGCACAGGCCATCTATCAAGACTTTTGCTTAAAATTAACTACATTTCACGACATTGCCACTCAAACTATTAGCTGAAGTAAGCCAGTTTCATAAACTGTGAAGCTGGCTTGTTTCAATTCAACCAAAATTAAAATCAACAACAGTACATCTAGGTTTGGATAACAGTACAACCCTAAAAATTCTTCCAGAAGAGTAAGCAATGAACATGAGCAAGACTTATTGTGACTCATTTTGTGATATATTAAAGTTTGAAGCAGCCACATATGACCAAGAGATTGTGTATGGTTTTTAAATTTACAGAAAAGATAGGAAAAGTTATCAGAGATAAAGAACTGACAGGTTATATATGCCTTTCACACTTGTACAAAAGAGAAAGTTTTAAGTAGTTGCAGCTTCTCCCATCTCTGGATGGCAGGTTAACAGTTGCAAAACTCAAATTCTATGGGACTATTAAAGGTACAAGGATTCCACCCTCTCACATATGTCCATCATAGCTAGAAAACTCAAATAGCTTTATATCATTGTGTCCTGTACTGCACAATATTGTTAAACACTGGTCCTGGGTCTCCAGTTATTACAGTGGTGCCTCGCTTAACGGTGATAATCCATTCCAGGAAAATCGCTGTTAAGCGAAAACATCGTAAAGTGAAAAACAACAACAAACAATTGAAACGCATTGGAACCCCTTCAATGCGTTCCAATGGGGTCAAATCTCACTGTCCAGCGAAGATCCTCCATAGGGCAGCCATTTTCGCTGCCTGTCTTGCAAGGAATCCGTCCCAGAAAACAGCGGGGGAGCCATTTTGTTTATCCGGCGGCCATTTTGAAACCGCCGATCAGCTGTTTTAAAATCGTCGTTTTGCGAAGAATTGGTTCCCGAAGCAGGGACCCGATCATCGCAAAGCAGAAAAACCCCATTTAGATCATCGCTTTGCGATTGCAAAAAGATTGTCGTAATGTGGTTTTGTCATAATACGGGGCAATCGTAAAGCGAGGCACCACTGTATACACATTGCATTATAGACTTCATCCAAAATGTTATGCTTGGTATAAATGATTTCGTTTCAGACATGAACCTTGTTTCCTTTTCAATATAAGGATATAAACTTTATCTGTTTTGTGATTCTGAGATTTCCATTACACAGAAGATCATACATCCTACTTAAACTAGTACCTATCTCAGAATAAAGTGCCATAAGATTCCTTAACTAGAAGCACTTTCTGGAAGCCCAGAATATTATCTTGGAGTGATGATATGATCATAGGTCAAAATCCTGCAAGTTATGCCAGCAAACATAACTCAAATGACACAACTTTGAACTGCCTCAAGTTAAATATCATTGCAGACATTATCTGTGTTATATACCAAGTAGCATGGCTTGGAGCATAACAGATAATGTCTACAATAATTTCTTAACCTCAAACAACTTGCTTCTGAAAGTTACACTATTTGTCAAAACACCAACAGGATTTTGGCCACAATCTCTAATACAGAGATGTGCAGTAAAAAAAAAGAGATATTAAAACATACCATCCATGATCCTCTGGTATGTAAATGCAAAACATGTGCTCGTTTTCACCTCAGAAACTTTTAGAACTGAACTACTGAATTGCTCTCCATGCTTTTAAAATATATGTTTAAAAACCAATTTAGCAATTCTGGACTGTAGTCATTGCATGTCATGAACTGTCATTGAAGTTAACAGAACTGAGACTGCAGCAAAAAAAGACAACGTTATTTGACAAAAGACACGGAAGTCTTATAATATTAAACATCCATGTTATGATGCATAAGCAAACATTATTAATTTACAGAATTTCATTGGTATACATAATTCCATAATTCTCAATACAATTTTAGGAAGCAGAGTTATATACCTGGGCCAGTTGCTCTAAAATTATTTTCCACTGCATGTGGGTTTATGAGCAAGATTAGAAAACAAAGAACATTACCTTTAGAACACTACTCAAATCATTTTGGGTACTAAAATTCCCTTCATCTAAGAATTTTTCAACAGTTTTTTCACTACATTGGTTGTAAAACTGCACAGGATTAAATAAATTGAGATGATGATGATAGATAAAAAGCATATATATGCACATTAAAAACACACACAACTCAGACTCCTTTTAGCCTGAAGGGTGACCTAGATGTATTCTACAGACAGGACTACAGGGGGTATGGAAGTTTTATGACACTTAGAATAATAGGCCTTTCCACAACAATGTATTTGAGTAGACAGAAAGTCTAGTCAAACTACTGACAACATCTTACATTTTGTGATTATGTTTAAACGCCTCCATCCAAATTCTTTGTAAAGTAAGAATATGTATTTGACCAAGTTTTTATAGCATATTGGATGTTAGAATTTGAGCTATATTTTCGTTTTTCAAAAATAAAAATAAAGACATTAGGAGAGTACCTCCCTAAGGCAGGCTACAGTAACAGCAGGGGTTCACTGCAGGGAGAGAAAGGATATAGGAATGACACTTCCTCATCCCCCAGGAAAATAAAGATGATCATCCTGCTGGCTATAAAAACTGAGAAAACATTCTGCTGCCTGAAATTAGAGCTGCCGAATTTTAAAAAACTGTGGAGGGAACTACCCCCAATTTGTCTTTTTTTAAAAAACTAAAATGTGCAACATTTCTTTTAGGAAACGTACATTTATTTTATTGCTTCAACATACAAGATATCACACACAACTTCTAACACTGGAGTATTAGTCTATGTATGAAATTGCCAAAATAATTTTTATTAAAACAATTTTGAGGCTACCCTTCAAGACAAAACCCTTCCAAAGAACCTTAACATAAAATAATCCTATACAAGATTACTCAAAACTCACTCTATTTAGAGGAACTTTTTCCCAAGCAAATGTACATGTCTTCCTTTTGTACATGTCTTCCTCTCACAAAGTTGTAACTATACTGAATATTTATAAACACTTCATGGAAGTGAATGCAAATTGTCATAGGACTGGTAATGAGGAAAACTGTGTCAGGAATAGCTGAAAAGAGGCTTAGCAAGGAACAGCCCTTTGCTCTCTTGAAAAAAAATTCAGCATGGTTGTGGCAATGATGAGCAAAGTTTTTAAGGCACTTAGTTTATTCGAGTACTATATAAATTGCATACATATAAATGGTGCACATTTAATGCACACACCCATTTCTGAACAGTTAAATGAAATTATCTCTCCCCAAATGATGTTTTCTAGTCATCCTGATGTGATCTTGTATGCCAAATGATTACAATAATATTCACTCTACTCCCTTTAGAGAGGCCTGGAGTTATGACAGGGTTCAAGCAGCACTATCCCATCACTAAGTATTTTAAAACTGGAAGTTGGCTGTCTTAATGTTAAATATCATAATTAAAGCAACCGCCAAATCATATACAATAATAATTTAAGTTTGTCAAACAAGTTCTTCAGTTTATCAGACAATACCTTGACTAGACTTACCTAACCACTGATCTAATCCCCATACAGTACTTCTATTATATAGTTCATAGAAAATCTGGGTAGATGAACAAGGGAAACAAAACCAAGGGCATATTTGTACATATTCTTTTTTTAAAAAATAAAGTTACTGGCAACGACCGGAGGTAAGCAACAAAAATCATTCTTAATATAAGAATTTTGATAAAGCCATAGTTTGGACTCAATGATCCGTAGGGTTCCTCCTTTCCAGCTCTGCAGTTTTAAGATTATTATATTTATATCTAAGTGAACCACCAATCATACGGTTTTCAACCTTAGATCCTTTACCTTAAACCCCCACCCTCCAATTGCTAGAAGCCTTCAAAATGCACAGCTCAAATGGGAACATTCCAATTCTGGGAAAGAAACTCAGTGTCCAATAGCTACCTAAACATGTCATTTAGGGCCATTTATTATACACACTAACTAAAATTATACCTGCATCACTTTAAACAACCACACAAAGATATACACAAATGTACTTGAACCTTGTGTTAAAGTACTGCACAATCAGTGTTCAAATTCAAGTTGTTTGTATTTTAGATTAACTGTTGTGGGGATCAGTATGCCATCTAATGATGTGCAGCTCAATCCTGGAAATTTACTTGCAACCACACATCACTGATTTATTTATTTTCATTTCTATACTGCCTGTTTTGTGTTGTCACTCTCTGGGTGGTTTACAATATACAATAAAAATATAACACTATAGAATAAATGCAAAATACAACATAATGTATATGTCCTTAATTAATTTCCTAAAAAAAACCAGGGATGGTTCCTGAGGAACTTCTGCAGGAAGCTTGAAACTTGTGCACAGGACACAATACATCCATACATCCAGGTTTCTACACATTTTCTGAAAAGTAACCTATTACTTCCAGATAAGAAAATAAAAGTTTGCTATTAAAATATGGAAATTCATACATTTTTTGAGCTTATGCCTTTGAAGATTGACAGCTAATGTAAGGATTGCAATTTTCTCTCTCAGGAACACCTTCAAATTAGTGGATATCCATGTTTAAGCCTGTTATGCCATTTTCTTTGTTACAAACCCCTACCACCGAATGCAAATTCAGAGGAAGAGACTTGAAAAAACCCAGGTTCACTGAAATCAACAATTCAGATTATTTCGCAGGCGAAGCTATTTACGCAGCCGCATCCGTCCCCTGTGCTAAAAGGTGGCCCGAGTAAACCATACAAAATGCCTCCTCCTGCTGCTTAGAGGGGAAGAAAGCAACGAGCGCAACTCAAAACGCGCCTGCAACGCATCGCCTCTGAGCAGCAGGATTCGGCGCAAAGTGTGTGTGTGTGGGGGGGCTCCCCAAAACGAAGGCGGCCAAGCGCCTTACAGTGCGGGCCGGGCGGGTTTGGATGGCTCGCAGCCGACTTCCACCGAGGCCTTGGCTAAGCCAAGCATCCCCGGCTGGGGCCTGGTGCGGAGGCTGCAAAGCCCGAAAGCGGGAAAGCCGAGAAGAGGGGAGAAAACCTCCCCCCCCGCCGCCCCTCTCAGGGTGGCTCTTCTCGCGGAGGCCCCCACGGGCGACAAAGGCTCGGGGGCAGCAGGTGGGAAAAGGACCGCTAACACCCCGCTCCTTTCGGGACGGAGGAGGAGGAGGAGGGGAGGAGGAGCCGCCGGCGACGGCATTCGCTCGGTCGCTCACTCACTCACCGAACTGCGGCGTTTGGTCGCGGTGGCGGCCCCGGCCCGGCGGTCGCTCTCTCGCTCTCGGGGCCTGAGGCGGGAGGGGGCCGAGCCTGGACAGGGGCTAATGCCGCCTGGAGTTACCGCAAGCACAAGTCCCTCGCCCCGGCTGCGCCTCCCCGTCTCTCTCTCGCTCTTCTCTGGAGAACTGCGCAGCAACCAAGTGGCCCAAAACGTCACATCCGCCCGTCGGCTGGGTGCAGAGGATCGACGACGGCGGCGGCGCACGTCTGAAGCCCCCCCCTCCCGAAAAGTAAGCAAGCTGGCAGCAAGCGGCGCGCCGCCGTCACGTGCGGGGGGAGAAGCGCCTAGCGTGCGCCACCCCTGTCACGTGGTCCGAGGGGGGTTCTCTCGCTGACGTAAGAAGCAGGGGCTTTAAATTCTTATCTGTTTCCAGCACTGAGGGCGGAGGGGGGGGCAGGCCTGCGACGAGCAAAGAAAGCGTCCGTGCCAGGCACGCTTGCTTCCGGGTCCATTGAAGTTTCTTGTTAAACATAGTAGGGGGTCACCTCTCTCCGGACGTCTACAGGAATTCAGTACAGTACTGGAGTGGATCCCTTTCCGTCTCGGATTGGGGTGTGTGTCGGGGGGTTCAGCGATGTTTCCTGTGTGAGTGGCCATATGGGGTACGGTAGTTCATACACATTGTCGTCCCAACACATTTGCAGGGCACCAGCTCAGTAGACGGCTGTTTATAAGTGTCTGAAGGTTCTTGGTGATTATTTTAGCAACAATTAATAAAGTGACTTCTCTGGACATTGATTAGGAAAAGCAAATGAAGTTGGCTTTAGAAATGTGATTGCCTGCAGATCAGTGTGTAGTTTTGCGGTGCAAAAATTGTCATTTTACCAATGTTAAATCCATAGTTTTTCATTCTTAAGTGATAAAATGCTTGTGCGTCCAGTGTATAATAAAGGTAATATGTGGAGACTCCAATTGCGTTTTAATAGTTTTCATAGCTGTTAAAAAAAACTGAACAAAGAAGCACAACTAGTGTGATGAGGAGCACTAATCTCTTCTCACACAGATGGCAGGCATCAAACTTTATTCTTTTGGTTTTCAGCATTAAATATTGCGCTCTTCTTCACTCGCATACATGAAAATCTGCTTTATTAGTTGTCATTTTTTTCTTTCTTTTGATTTTGTGCTGCCATGAGACTCAACAGACAATTGTGCCTTGCCTGCTAAAACCATTAATATCTAAAGCATTTATATTGTATGAAATTTAATGGAATATAGACCATTTTATCAGATCATGAAAATATCCTCCTGAATGTTTAGATGTATATTTTAGTTATTAAAATAATTAGGCTATATTCAGTTGGTATTCCCAAATACAGCAGAACCCTTGAATGAATAACATTTTAGTAAATCATAATCTTAAGGCCAATCATTCAGTTAGTGACACATAGGGACAAAGAGAACTGTTATAACCATTCCAAAAAGCTAGAAAACATTGATAAAGGAAAAACAAGAGATCTCTTAAATTCTTTATTTGTATCAGAGCACTACACAATTCAGAATCACAGCAATTGAAATGTCATGAAAATCTGACTAGTTTGACCAGTGCTTGTTTCAAAAGTTCATTGACATGACTTTTCCCCATCTAGTCATTATTGTTTTCTTCTGTGTTGGGCTGGGATGGAGCCATGAATATTTGGAAAAGAAGCAAACAGCAAAGGGTTATCTTTCCTGTTGCAGCAAAACAATGTAAAGTGTTTTGGCACCTTAAAGATGTAACAGATTTATCATGGCATAAGCTTCCACCAACTAAAGCCCTTTATCAGATGCATGTAGTGTCTGAGGAGAACATGCACCAGCTGAAGTTTGCTTCTGTATACAACTAGCTGGGAAGCAGGTACAAGGAATCTTATTCCACAATTACAGTAAATCCTGTGTATTTCTATGCGCAATGTACCTGGAAGTCCTGCCCAGTTCAATGGTGGAATTTCCTTCCAGCAAGTTGAATAAAGGAGTGCAGCTACTGGCAAGCCAGTACGTATAATCCTGTACATGTTTATACAGAACTAAGTTGGTAAAACCTAAACCCCAGATACCACAATGCACCCTAAATCTTTGAGTCTTATAGATGCCACCATTTTTTCCTTACAGTTCTTCACAAGTCAAGCAATTTTCCCTGGAAAAAATGCAAACCCTCACCGAGAGGGAGAATTGTCTCAAAACTATAAAAAGTACTAGTAACATTTAAGCTCCTGTATGTAAGTGCAACCATTATTATTTTCCAATAGGCTGTGGCTGCAAATAAAGTAGAATATCAACAAAGGGATTTCTATTTGTTTGCTCAAATGATATCAGGCACAGTATTTGTTTTTGCAAATATGCAACTCTGGGAATGGCACCACCTCTCAAATATGCCTTTGAAGGACGCCTTTGGTTGCAGCCCTAAATATACACTTAGAATATGTCCATAGTTATATTTTGTTCAGAATCAACATCCACAGCAATATATTGTTATGTGCAAATTGCCTGATTTACAGCAAAGCTATGAATAAGCAATTGTCAAAATGTTAAGTCCTCAACAGCTATGCTTAGCTCTTATAAATGCAAACCTGTGGTTCTTTTAGAGTCAGGCCATTTCATATTTGGTCCTCCTCTTTTCCTGCTGTCTTCAACTTTTCCTATTATTATTAATTTTGTCCTGTGAATCTTGCCTTCTCATGATGCATCCAAAGTATTGCAGCCCCATCATTTTTGCCTCCAGAGATAGATGAGGAAAATAAATTGAGATGTGTTAATTACACCTACATACTTTTGTGCCACTGTCATCTATCTAGCTTTGCCTTATAGAGAGGTGTATACTTTTCTAATGAACAATGAAGTGGAATAAACCAGTAATACTAATGACAGTTTAGTTAGTGTTGCTGTGGTAGGGATGAGAAACTTCCAATTAAACTTCCTTAATTTACAGCTGCTGGTCCCTGGCACCCTTAACAAGAAGCTGAGAAACCCCTGGCAGAGATTATGCTACTGTGAAACTACACAATGTACCTCCTAGCCTTTTAGTATTTTAATTGCCCACCTTTTGCTCTGGAAAACTACTATTCCCACCCAACTTTGCGAGCATGCGCAGACGCGCTGCGTGACGCCCTTGATCATAAGACCCGCCTGACGTCAGAGACACTGGCTGGGTGTATTTACGAGCTTGATCCTTGCCTGTCAGCAAGGGAGAATTTGAGCGTTCATTATTCTTGAGCTTAGCAGGTAAGCCGGGTTAGCTTCCCTTCTCTCCCCCCCACTCTTCTTGAAGTGCCTGTTTGTGCGCCCATTTTTCGGGCGGGGGGGGGGGGGGCAAGGGTGGGAAGCGCAGGCTTTTGCAAGGCTGCCTGTGGGCTCCTTTTCGAGACACCCAGGCGGCGGCGGCGGTGGTGGTGGTGGTGGTTCAGGGTCCCGGGGCCGGGCGAGGCGAGGCGAGGCGAGGCGCCCTGCTGGCGGGAGAAGGCGACTTGCCCGCTGGCTGCAACCTGTCTAGACAAGTCCGGGTTAAATCCAATGAGGTCATCCAATGAGGTCACGCCATCTCGTGTTTTTTTTTAATCCTGGTGGCTCTCGTGGAGTCGAGATCGCCGTCCTTCGCATCCTGCTTGACTCCTTGATGTTCAATCCTAATATTATCCGACGGGGGAAAGATCGTGTTGGGGGGGGGAGTTCCGTGTAGGATGGGCAGTGAGGAGGTCGTCTGAATGACATTTCAGCCAAGCTGGTTTTTGGGCGGAATGACGGGTGCTCTTCAAACTGCCCTACCCCCTCAGGATATTGGATTTCTAGCTCTGGTTTAAAGTAATTCTTGAATAACAGCACCGTGTAATTCAGGATCTTCGGTGGGTAGATTCTTCTGTTTTTTTTTTAAAAAGGGGTGTGACAAATAAAACTAAAATGAAGAAAGGCTTCCTGCTGTCAGGATACCATGGTGGTACTGGGGAAAACTTCACCGGATGAATGTCTTGCTTGTTATTATGTAACTGGTCTAGACTCTGGAGTCCTGCTAGAAAATTAAATTAAACTGGCAGCCCCATCATTCACTTGCTATTTGTGTTTTCCTCCAGTAAAATGTTTGAGGTGTTCTTTCATCATTGGATCCTTGTGTGTGAAGTTGTCAGTGAAGTATTAACAGAGTATGGCACAGTGTGTGTGTGTGTGGGGGAGCTCCTTGATAGCTGTGTGGCTAGAGCAACAGTAAAGGTGGTATTTTAGGACACAAGTTGATGGTAAAAAGTGATTTGCTGTTTCTGTCTCTTTTTGTGGGGGAAAACTCAACCAGATAGTCGATAAAACTAATAAAATATGTGGACCTGTCTACATTGTGAAACTTGGTGCTATATAGTGGGTGCTTAAAAGATCCTTATCTTCTGTGCACTCTATTTTTACTCTTGGTACCATCCCCAAAAGCAGAACAAAGAGCTGTTTTGCAGTCCAATGACTCATCCCCCAAAGATTACATGCCCTAGCCCTCTGCTAGAAATATACCTGTCAGCTCTTAAAGAAAAAGGATGGATCATTTTAAATAGAAACGCAAGCAGACAAGGCCATCAGGGAACCATATACCATGACTGTGTGCCAGTATAGACAGGCTCCTTTGTCTTGTTGTGATGTCTTCATTCTATCTCAGGAGAACCAAAATTTTGGTGTGCTGTATGTGTCTCTCTTTCCGAATCCATAGAGTAATATATAATACTGGTGTGCTGTTAAGTACATCCTGACTTACAGTAATCCTTTTTGGAGTTTTGTAGGTGGAGAGTATTTAGTAGAGGTTTACCATTCCATTCTTCAGGGGACATCCTGGGGCTTGTGTGTGTTGCCCAAGGCCATGTAGGCTGGCTCCTCTGGGATGCACAGTCGGGAATTGAATTTCCAACCTCAGACTCTGCAGCCAGATGCCTAACACACTGAGCTATCCAGCCAGTGTATAATAATATATAGATAAGCATTATTTAGCACAAGTTGCTCAGTTCCAAACACTTGGCCATTATTTTGTAACCATCTATTTGATCTGTAACTATTTTTAAAAAATGATATTGTGACCTGTGCTTGAAACTGAATGTTGGATAGTGGGATTTGACGCCAAAAAAGAGCCACAACATTCTAAGAAGCTTATCTCTAAGGGGCCATGGCTCCATGGCAGAACACATGCTTACTCTGCATAGCTGTTTCTGGGCCCATAGGTGTTGGAACCTTAGAAGACTTGGTCAGCATGCCTGGATATTGGTTGCTGGGTATTGTAGTCAAAAAATATCTGAAGACCATATTTGGGAGCCAGTAATGTAGGAAGTCCTGAACTAAATGGATGAGCAGTCTGATTTGATATGCAGCCACTTCTTGTAGTCATTTTTCCCTAATTACACAAAATTTCCAGTTTTTAAAAACTATTACAGTGACTTGAAAGAACAGAGCATAGAAATGGAACTAAAAGCTGTAATAATCTGATTAATCATCAGTAGCAATAGATGTGTCCAGTGTTGTGTATTGTCTCTGTTCTTGGTGGGTTGAGGAAATATGATGTGCAGTGCATAACAGGAACACTGTTCAAATGCTAGTCCAATTTGATTCCTAAAATAGGTTTATGTGACTGCATTGAGTTAAATTGGATTCGAGAAGTGAAAGCTGGTGGGTGAACTGGGGACAAAACAACTCAAGGGACAGCTGTGTAGTTCCTATATCCCCATCCCATGATGACTTAATTATGCCCCCCCCATTGAAAACATTTGGATTATACCATGGTCTATCTTGCCGTGATAAATAATATATCTGGATAGTCATAGGCAATAAAATATTTCCTAACCCAGCAGTTTTCATGGGGGGAAGGGTCGTACAAATAAGTTCTGAGGGGTATGAGAAGACAGTGAAAATTTGGTTTTCTTATGTTACAACTGGACTACCCCCTTGGAATCACAAGCAACTCAGGATTTGGTGTTGGAAAGAAATTGGGAAGTGTTGCAGACTAATAGAGTGTCTTCAGGTATTCGGCAGAATCCCAGACTGCGTTTCTGGACCGGTCGTATCATGGTCCTCCAATATGGTGGCAACAGCTTTACATAGAATCTTCTATAGTAGATGAAAGAAACTGGTCTCTGGAAACTGACATGTGACTAAATTGAGTAAAGACTAAATTGAGATGCGAACATTGAGATGAGAAAAATTTGTCTCAGTCCAGACGAACTTTCAGTTTTTAAGCATCAGTGAAAGTGATAAAAATGAAAGAACAGAAAAAGCAAGAACTGTTGATAGTGGTAAGTCAAAAATGTAATTGCTCTTTTAGCAAAATTAGTATTTGATGAGTCTAAATTAGTATTTGATGAGTCTTGATTTTTGTTCCCCCCTCCCCATACCACCTTCTTTTCTAAAGTGAGTGCTTTGGGTGTCTGTTGTTGATATATTTAATCTAAGTTCACAATGAATGATTTCTTTGATTTAATATAAAATGGACAGTTTATACAGTATTGTTTTCAGCTTTAATGTTTTGCCTGTTACTCAGAAATTGGCAAACCCTAAGGAGTTCTAGGCGGCTTATAGTGTAGGATCATACAGCTCTATTTAAAAGTAATTGCAGTTAGTAAATCTGTAATTATAGTTTAAATTAATTATAATTTCAAATTTAATATGTCCTATCATGTTTATTCCATTAATCCATCAAATGATTCATAATATATTAGATCTGTAAAAGGCCCCAAACAAATAGTGCATATTATTTAGTGTATCCAAAAATTTCTGTAGTTTTTTTTCCTTCAGAGATCGGGGAAAGTTTTCCCCATGTGGCTTAAAATGTTGAGAAATCGTGTATCTCTACAAAGGTGTTTTATAATATAAATTCTTGAGACTGCAGGTTTACTCTTGTATTGGTTAGGCATCCTTCAGTCTCGAAAGACTATGGTAAACTCTATGGTAAACTCTTGTAGATAGATAGATAGATAGATAGATAGATAGATAGATAGATAGATAGATAGATAGATAGATAGATAGATAGATATGTTCACTCCTTTATTGGCATATACCCTTTAATCACTTCTTTGCCTGGCTCATTTTTCAGTACTTATCAGATAAATCGGCACAGAGAAACTAGATTACTTTTTTTCATGAAGGGTGCAGTCCTTAGTGTGCTTACCTGTTACTCCCATTGAACTCAGTGGGATTTAATTTAAAGACTCCAAGGAAGAGAAGTCTGTGTTAATCTGTGTTCATATGGGCAGCACCTTCACATATACTTCCCCCCCCCGCCACTTTCTCTGTGTTCCTTAAGGTCATCCGCCTCACACTATGGACACAGAGTCAGGATGGCAAATGTGTCCCTCCAGATATTAATGTGCTACAGCTCCCATCATCCTTTGGTTGTGATGGGAGTAATCCAACAATATCTGGAGAGCCACATGTTCTCCACCTGTAACATAGAGGAATCATTTCTGGGTCAGTAAAGTTATGTTTGTAATGAACAGATAGGCGGGGCATAAATAAATAAATAAATAAATAAATAAATAAATAAATAAATAAATAAATAAATAAATGGTGTGTTGTATTGAAGATTGACTGTCACCTACTTTCTTTTTAGCATTTCTGATGGCGCTGGTGAAAAGTGGATGGTTGCTCCGGCAAAGTGAGTAACTGATTCTGTTGAATCACTTATTTCTTTTTCTGCACCAAACTAAATAACATGTAAGAAATCTATAGTGGATGAATAATGGTATTACTCCACTAGTGCAAATGAGCCTGCAGTTCTGGACACCTACTTTTGGGCTGGGGTGAAAGACTCATTGCATGTTTCTAGTAGTGCAACTGGTTGCAGAATCAGTAACACAGGTTGTCTAAAACTTAGGACCATGATAGTAAATATGATACTGTATGTGCAACAGGAGAAATCAGCAGAACTGTGTATGTGCTGCTTTCCTCCTCTAACATGGCAGTGAATTTAGGCTGATTATTGGTTCTCCCTCTGTTTTCTTGAAGTACAGGCCCCTAGGACTTACTGTTCAGAGTTAACAAGCTGTTATTTCTGGGATATTCTTTTAATCAGATTTTTTTTTAAAGTTGGGGCCATATCAGTCACTAGGAGTAAAATAAAATAAAAAATCCACTGGTAGGCAATCTCTTTATTAGGATCAACTGTACATGCACCAAATATGGATGTTTTAAAGTTACACAGAACAATTCATCAGGCTAAATGGTTAAAAAAAATTAAGGGAGAGTAGAGCAGAAGATCAAATATTTGCCAAAGTAATTCAAGCTACGGAGAACTGCAGTCAAAGTCCTTGGGGAATTAGAGACTCTTGGCAGGTATCAGATGATCTCTGGCAAACTGCACTGGAAAGGAAACAAAAAGGAGGTTTACCAGCTAGTACCAGTGGTGCCTCGCATAACGAGCGCACCGTTTAATGATGAATCCGCATAGTGACGCATTTTTTGCGATCGCTAATGCAATCGCATTGCGATGATCTAAATGGCTGAAAATCGCATTGCGATGTTTTTTTAAACAGCTGATCTGCGGTTCCAAAATGGCCACCGGGTGCACAAAATGGCTGCCTGCAGCATTTTCGCATGCTGCCCTCACTGAGGCGGCGAAAATGGTGGTGCTAGGCCAGGAGGGCGGGGGAAGTCCCCTCCTCCCGAGCGCACCCCCGCTTTTTTGGCCGGCTGACCGGCTGGCGCTTGGCCAGGAGGGTGGAGGAAGGCTCCTCCTCCCGAGTGCACCCCTGCTTTTTCGGCCAGCTAACCAGCTGGCGCTTGGCCAGGAGGGCGGGGGAAGGCTCCCCCATCCTCCTCCCCAGCGCCCGTCGCCATTTTCCCCCAGCTGACTGGCGGGAGCTTCGGAAGGTCCGAAGCCCCCACCGGTCAGCTGGGGGGAAATGGGGCCTATGGGGAAAAATCGCAAAGCGGTTTTGCCCCATAGGGAACATCGCAATGCAATCGCAAAATCTTCTTCGCTATGCAGATTCGTCGTTAAACGGGGTGCCCGTTAAGCGAGGCACCAATTTACTTCTGGTGCCAGTGAATTCCACAGTTTAACAAAGCATTTGAAATAGTAAAATCTTATACAGTGGTGCCTCGCACAACGAGCGCCTCGTAGAGCGATGAATTCGCTCTACGAGGACGCTTTTGCGATCGCTACTGCGATCGCACAGCGATGGCCCCAATGAGCGAAAATCGCAGAGCGAAGGTCGGTAAGCGGTTCGCTTACCGACGGGCGCGAAAACGCTGCCGGAACAGCCGAAATGGCTGCGCGCAGCGTTTTCGCGCTATCCCCTTGCTTACCAAGGGCGCGAAAACGCTGCGCCCCGCCCTTTCGGTTGTTCCGGCGGCCATTTTGAAGCCGCGGAACAGCTGATCGCAGCCATTTTCGTGCCCTCGTTCAGCGAGGGGAGGGCGCGAAAATGGCTGCCGGACCCCAGAAGCATCGCTGAACGGTGCGTTTTCAGCCGATTTGGAAGGCATTAAACGATGTTTAATGCGTTCCAATGGGCTTTCCCGTCCCGCTCAGCGATGTTTCACACAGCGAGGGTTAATCCGGGACGGATTAACCCTCGCTGTGCGAGGCACCACTGTACTCTTGGATTAAGTGCCACTAAATATCGTAGAACATACATTTTAGTATACATGAAAAATTACTTCTCCTGCTTCTGATTCAGTTTCACATTGTACACATCGTATATAAGTATACAGTAATCGTACATATTTTATTTCAAATAAAGTAAAATAAAAGATTACTTTCCAGGCTGAAAGGCTGTTGAAACTGCTTTAGAACAAGATTGTGTGCTAATAAGAACCTTCAAAAATGAGTATTCTGTGTTGTTTTAGGCACTATATTGCGGCGCTGGAAGAAGAATTGGTTTGATCTGTGGTCTCATGGCCATTTATTATTTTATGATGACCAACATCGACACGATCTAGAAGACAGAATTCATATGAAAGTTGACTGTATCAACATCAGAGTGGGCAATGAATGCCGAGGTGAACATATGCTTTTTATTCAATCTTGTGTTTCCTTGCATATGCCTAAACTTGCCTTTTCCCATCAGTTGCCACTGTGTTTAGTGCCATCTGTCATACATATATTTATGATTTAGAACTAACTGGAACTAACTTAGAATTAACTGGAACCAGTTGTATTGGCTCTTGTTTTTCCATTGGACTACTTCAGTGACATGAAGAGGGGGGGATTTTCTGCTTGGGTAACAGTCCATCCTCCATATTATTTTAACCAGGCTTCGTACTCGGGAGAGGACACTCCATCTGCGCATACAGTGTCGAAATAACATGGGAAGTAGCAGTTACCGGTGGTAATTCTTTGCTTGATTGGCGTAGAGCATGATGCCAGGGGTTACTTCAGATGGTGGGAGAGGTCATTGCACCTCACTAGGTAGCTACCGCCTGCCTTAAGCTGGGCAGCCCCCAGCCAGTAAGGTGCTGCCTTGCCATGGTCTGTTAACCTCATGGGGTGCGTGGGGATTAGGGTGAAAGCTGACAAGCAGATCGATAACCCTGCACCATGTAATAATCATAAGAAAACTTCTGCCTTGTCCACATTTGGCAAGAAGACCAAAAAGATGGCAGACTGGTTTGAAGCCCATTTGGAGGAGTTGATGCCAGCCATCGAGGAAAAGAGGAGAGCTCTAGCAGCATACGAAGCCTGTCCTAGTGAGTACAACTTGTAGACTCCTCGAGTTGCTTGTGGCAAAGTCCAACAGGCTGCCAGGAGATGTTCTAACAATTATCGGCTTCGGCTGTCCTCTCAGATACAGACAGCGGTGGACACAGGTAACATCAAAGGAATGTATGATGGCATCAAGCAGGCTTTAGGTCCAATACAGAAGAAATCTGCTCCTTTGAAGTCTGCTACAGGTGTGAACATCCAGGACCAAGAACAGCAAATGAAATGCTGGGTACAGCACTACTCTGAGCTGTATTCTATAGAGAATGTATATCTCTTATAGAGAATGTATAATGCAAAGAGGCATTAAATAACATTGCTTGTCTATGTTGGAAGAGCTGGACAGTGAACCAACTTTAGCAGAAATAAAAGCAGCCTTGGATTCCCTTGCCTCTGGCAAGGCACGTGAAAAGGATAACATCCCTTCTGAAGTGCTGTAAAAAGACCATCACCACTGAGCAGTATGAACTCTTTTGTCTTTGCTGGAGGGAAGGTGGAGTACCACAGGACATGAAGGACGCAAACATCGTCACATAGTACAAGAACAACGGAGACAAGGGCGACTGCAATAACTACCATGGTATCTCTCTTCTCAGCATTGTAGGGAAACTGCTTGCCCATGTTGTGCTGAAGAGGCTCCAGGTGCTTGCAGACAGAGTCTATCCAGAATCACAGTGTGGATTTCGAGCTAATAGATCCACCATTGACATGGTATTTTCCATCAGACAATTGCAGGAGAAATTTAGGGAACAATGACAGCCACTCTTTGTGGCCTTCAGAGATGTTACAAAGGCCTTTGATTTGGTTAGCAGGAGCAGCCTTTTTAAAATACTTCCCAAGATTAGATGTCCACCTTAACTCCTTAATATCATCAGGTCCTTTCATGAGGAAATAAAGGGCACTGTAGTTTTTGATGGCTCAACATCAAATTCCTTTGACATCTGAAGCAGAGCGAAACAGGGCTGTGTCCTCACGCTGACTCTGTTTGTGATCTTTTTTTGCTGTCATGCCGAAGCACGCTTTTGGAACTGCAACAGAAGGTGTCTATCTCCAGACTAGATCAGATAGAAAGTTCTTTAATCTCTCTAGATTGAGAGAGAAGACCAAAGTCCAGCTGAAACTTATGAACCGTTTTAGTAAGGCCTGCCAAGATTTTGGATTAACAATCAGCCTGAAGAAAGCACAAGTCATGGGCCAGGGTGTGGACTCATCTCTCTCTATTACCATCTCTAGACAAGAACTGGAGATTGTTCATGATTTGTGTACAATCTCTGACACACTCTAGATGTCGAGCTGGATAAACGCATTGGCAAAGCAGCTACCATGTTCTCTAGACTCACAAAGAGTATGGCTTAATAAGAAGCTGACGGCATATACCACGATCCAGGTGTATAGAGCCTGTGTCCTGAGTACACGCCTGTACTGCAGTGAGTCCTGGACCCTTTGTGCACGTCAGGAGAGGACATTGAACACGTTCCATATGCGTTGTCTCCAATGCATTTTTGGGATCACCTGGCAGGACAAAGTTCCAAATAGAGTAGTTCTAGAATGAGCTGGAATTTTTAGCATGTATACATTACTGAAACAGTGATGACTACGTTGGTTTGGGCATGTCGTGAGAATGGCTGACGGTCGGATTCTGAAATATCTCCTATATGGAGAATTAGTGCGGGGAAAGCACCCCAGAGGGAGACCAGACCTGCGATATAAGGATAGCTACAAGTGAGATTTGAAGGCCTTAGGAATGGACCTCAACAGATGGGAAACGTTGACATCTGAGTGCTCATCCTGGAGGCAGGCGGTACAGCATGGCCTTTCCCAAGAGGCAGTCCTGAAACCAGCAAAATCTGGGAACTGGACAGGTGACAGATTGTAATTGTCTTTAGTTTGAAAGGGATTGGCACTCTCATCCACGCTAGATGCTGTTCCAAAACCCCCATTCAGAGCATGTTACCATATCTCGAGACTGAAGGATGCCTACACATAGAAAAAGAACTCAGTCTACTCTCATTGTTGAAGATTTAAAAAGTAGTTTCCTGTAGTTCAACAGTTAAATCTGTATATTGCAGTTTGCATGCTTACAGTGCAGTCCTTTACATATTTGATTCAAAACCCTGTTAACATCAGTGAGACTTACTTCTTGTTAAATATGTTGTGACTTTGCCCTTATTCTGCTTGATTCGCCAGAAATTGTGAGGAACCCAATTGTTGTTATTGTTTTTATAGCGAAAGGAGAAAATTGGACGCTGTGAGTTTTCCACCCTTGGCTACTCCATGCAAACATTTTATGTAGTAATATGTATAAATGAGAATTTCTGCCCATTGTTTCTTTTGATACTCTGGTGGAAGCCCTTAGTGTGTCATCTTTACTATTTTCTGCTTTTTAAAGAATGAAAGTTCTTCATCTATTTTATAGTGCATGGCAATCAAATAATTGAAATTTACTTGAACCCTAAAAAAGTTAATGTAGTCTTAGGCTGCATCAACAGAATTAGTGTCCAGAACATGAAAAGTAATTGTTCTGCTGTGGCCATTTCTGGATGCTACCTTTTACAAAGGGCATTGGCAAACTAGAGTGCGTCCAGAGGAGGACAGTCAGGATGATGATAGGTCTCAGAACAAAGACATGTGAATCTTAGTGCTGCAGTCTGCCTATAACTCATTATTTGACTGCTCTGCAGTATGACTATACTACACCCTTTTACTTAGATGAATATGAACAGCAGCTCTGTGAATGCTATATAGGCACATGTGGAAGCAGCAGTTAGTCTGAGAGCAGAGTTGAAAAACAGCAAGCTGGCAGGCAGGAAAGGAAGAGGAAATTTACTACAGAGGGACCAGCAAAGTGAAAAGGAAGCAAGAGGAGGAAAATAGAGAGAGAAATTTAAAATTTAGTTGAGAAGCATATTGCATGTATTATTGTTTCAGGGTGCTGTTTTCTAAGCTAATTTGGGGAGATCTGACTTTAACAATAGTATAGAAAAAGGATATACATGAAAGTTAGACAGATTGAGGGATAGGAAATGAGGAAGCATTTAGGGCTGTTGCTGGCTATCATGATGACCTTCTCCCTTAGAGGTCTCAGAAATCACAGCACAGAGTTTGACTTGGTTATTTAGTGTTAAAGGTTTTTAATGCAAGTCAAGCAGAGTTTGGGTGAGTCTGCCCCTATGTGCCAGGAGTGGGATTCTACTTCAGCTGCTGAATAGAGTCTCCCATACTATGCCTCTGCTTAAGCATCTGGTGATCTAAGTTTATGTAACTGTGTTCAAGCAGGTAACTCTGGGGGAGGCATAGTTTAGTGGTAGAGCATGTCCTTTACATGCAGAAAGTCTCAAGTACGATCCTTGGCATTTCCAAGTTGTTATTACATGCCATCAAGTCGCCTTGTACTTCAGCTGCTGAATAGAGTCTCCCATACTATGCCTCTGCTTAAGCATCTGGTGATCTAAGTTTATGTAACTGTGTTCAAGCAGGTAACTCTGGGGGAGGCATAGTTTAGTGGTAGAGCATGTCCTTTACATGCAGAAAGTCTCAAGTACGATCCTTGGCATTTCCATGTTGTTGTTACATGCCATCAAGTCGCCTTAACTTATGGCAACCTTATGAAGGAGCAATCTCCAGAATGCCATGTCCTCAACAGCCCTGTTCAGCTCTTGTAAAATCCAACGTGTGGCTTCCTTTAGGGCAGTGGTTCTCAACCTCGGGTCCCCTGATGTTCTTGAACTACAGCTCCCAGAAGCCCTTGCCAGCATAGCTAGTGATGAAGATTTCTGGGAGATAGAGTGTAAGAAGTCTGGGGACTCAAGGTTAGGAACTACTGCTTTAAGGGGTCAATTCATTTCCTATTTGGTCCATTTCTTTTCCTGCTGCCTTCATCTTTTTCTAGAATTACTGTCTTTTCTAGCGCATCTTGCCTTCTCATGACATATCTGAAGCATGGCCCCCTCAGTTACATTGTTTTTGCCTCAAATAGGGTTAAAAGACCATCCAAGTAGGACGAGAAAACTGGCAGTATTGACTGGCAGTGGCTGCCAGTAATGGGCTGTAGTGGGCTAGATGGAGCCATGGTCTGATTTCACTGTACGACAGCTTCCTGTATAATTTTTTTATTTGTCCCTTGCAATGAAAGCACATCCCTTTGTCTTTTCTTTCTCTTGGACAGGATTCCAGCCTCCCGAAGGGAAACCACGTGACTGCTTGCTGCAGATCATTTGCCGTGATGGGAAAGTCCTCAACCTCTGTGCAGAAAGCTCTGATGATTGCTTGTGAGTTTTCAATGGCTATAGCTTATCTGTTCTGTTACAAACAGGGATTTTAAAAAATCACAGATTTTTTTAAAAAAATTCAGTTGTTTGAAATAAAAATGCCACATTTTATATTTAAATCGTCAAAAAAATCCAATGTTTTTATTTAAATCCAATCCAATCAGATTGCAAGCACGAAAACATATATTTTGCATGATATGTAGAGACTGGATATTTGAAAGACTTGCTGTGTACAATGAATGCCTGTCTTTCTGCCAACTCAGCTAATTCCCAAATGTTGGTGCGAAGTTGATTTGGTTGATCTGATCACTAACTTTCCCACAGTACCTCTGAAACTTTGGGAGTGAAATAGCGACTGCTAATTAGCTTGTCCAATATTTTGAGCTGAGCATTCCTGGTCTCTTCTCTCCAAGTTAATCCACAACTATTGAGATGTTCTGTTTTCATCTTACTGATCGATTTGCATAAAGTTATGGTTCTTTGGAGTTTTATTCTTGCAGCTTGTTGAAGAAGGAGCTATTGTCAATGAAATCATTCTCTAGAACATTGTTGCATCAGGCTAAGGGTGAAGCTCCATGTGTTGTTGGAGTTCTGTTACAAAAAGCAGCCGCAGCAGGGCCTGATCTGATCTGGGGCTACTGTACTTGAAGCAGGAAAGGTCTCACGTGCTGTTTCAACTTACAGTGGGGTCTTGACTTGAGAACTTAATCCGTATTGGAAGGCGGTTCTCAAGTCAAAAAGTCTGTAAGTCAAGTCTCCATTGACCTACAGTGCATTGAAAACCGATTAATCCTATAATAGGCCGTTTTTGTTCCATTTTGGTTTTTTTCTGGTCTGTAAGTCAATTCTCAGGCTGCAAGTCAAACCTAAATTTTGCGGCCAGAGTAGTCTGTAACTCAAAAAGTCTGTAAGTCAAGCCATCTGTAAGTCAAGGGTCCACTGTATATTGCTGCCAAGGCTGTTGTTAGTCCTGGGAAATAAAAAATTTGGCCTCAGAAACCTAATACACTCTCTGTTGTGGGACCTGCATTTGGAAATGAGAGGATGTACCTGTCAAGACAGTTTGGAACTGATGTGTTGTAAATAACTACATTTCCTGCAGTGCATTTTTAGGATACTGCGTGCATAACAACATTATGGCCCAACTCCTGTTGTATAAGTTATGCTTGTGGGAGAGTTTTTGAAGTGGTTGCTGTGTTAGTATGTAGAAGCACACCAACAAGAAATACAAAACAAAACAAAAAGCAAAAAAAGCCCCAACATCAACAACAACCAAAAAGAAGACACAGACTTGTGATGCCTTAAAGATTGCTATATTTAAATATGAGGTTTTGTGGAACAAGGCCACTTTTTCAGACTTAGGAAGGAGAATGCAGATGCTACATGGTGAAACATTCATGGCTCTAAGAGAAAGAAACAGTGATGGTTGGTAGACTCAAGGCACAAATTGTGAGTCATTGTGGCATTTCACACCTAGAAATGACATAAGATCCCTGTTTGGTATTCAGTTATTTTCTTTTGAAGCTTTGTTCTGTAAATAGCAAAATGATTAATGGCTAAAGAGGAACCCCAGGCTATGGGAAACAACAGCAAAAACAACATATGGTAATAAGTTAAGAATCACTGACTTAACCTTTGAAGCTTGTTCTGTAAAAATGGCAGTGATTAGCTGTGATGGAACTTGGGCTATGAAAAAATGACAGCAGATAACAATGTAATTAGTGTAGAATTTCTTATTTGGCAATATTGGCTAATATTTAATCCTTTGAGATGAGTATTACGCATATGTACTGTATACACATTATCTTAGCTATTTCCCTCTAGATTCTTGTTCTGTAATTTTTCTTCTCCAGAATAGCAACTTTCAAATCCTGTAAAGAGTGTTGTGGTAGATTGAAATTATTTGAAACAGGTTTCTGTGTATTGTCATTCCTGATGCCCAATTTGTGTCAATTTTTGCATAGATTGTCACATTTGTCCTTTGTAGAGTGCAGAGGGGAATTTTTGGCAAAAGATGTTATAAATAACATTGGTAAAGGAACAGGTAAAAGTACCCTTGATGTTGTGTGTGACATTTTTAGCTCCTATAATTATAAATGTGGAGACAGAGTTTGCATCTGTATTTGTAGCAGGGTTTAGTCCCCATCTCTGTGTCTATTGTGTAGCTCATTGTGTGTTGGTAGTTTGAGATCTGGGGTTGTCTTTGATATAGGCCTGCCACCAAGGGCTTGAAGTATTCTTGTCAAGGATGCGTTAGAGATCATTTATGATGCATGTGAGTGGTCTCAGTTGTGGCTGAAAGTGACAGGTAGTGGTGTTGAGTTGTTTTCTCTTCTGGATCTGTCTTGTAGTAGGTCACTTCTGAGTATTCGTCTTGCCCAGTTAATTTGTTCTTTAACCATAGTAGATGCATATTGTAATCTGACAAAATTATTTTCTAGATCCTTGAGTTGGGAGTCTCTCCATAGAAGGGTGATGGTGTAACTTACATTGAAGATTTCCTCCATCCATCCTGCAGTGTCCATGCACCGAAATGGATTACTTGCAACTTGGGCAAACTGTGGAATAGATGGAAGAAGTCTTTAATTGCTGAGAACCCACTCTATTCGTCCACAGTAATAACTTACAGCTTTTGGGTTGTATCTAAAATAAACAACACAATAACTGAAATTGTCTTGTACAACTGCAGTCGTAAATACAGTGGTGCCTCGCATAGCGATCGCTCCGTTTAGCGATGAAATCGCTTTGCGATGCATTTTTTGCGATCGCTTTGCGATGTTCCCTATGGGGGAATTTCCCTTTGCGATGATTGGTTCCCTGCTTCGGGAACTGAGCATCGCAAAGCGACGATATTAAAACAGCTGATTGGTGGTTTCAAAATGGCCGCCAGGTAAACAAAATGGCTGCCCGCTATTTTCTGGGACGGATTCCTTTCTTAAGAGGCATCAGAAATGGCCGCGCTATGGAGGATCTTCGCTGAACGGTGAGTTTTAAGCCCATAGGAACGCATTAATCGCGTTTTAATGCGTTTCTATGGGCTTTTTAATTTCGCATTGCGACGTTTTCATTCTGCAGCGATTTTTGCGGAACGAATTAACGTCGCAATGCGAGGTACCACTGTATTAATGACATCATCAGCCATGGACATTAATCTTTAATTAAATTTCATAACAAACCCCTCTCTGCTGTTTCCAAGGCTTCCTATGGATTCCCTTTAGTTTGGGGAAGCCTTTGAGAGCGTTTGGACTGGATAGGAAGCTTTGGAGGGATAGGAAGCTTTAAATCAAAGATTAACATCTATAGTTGATGGTGTCATTAGCACAGCATTTACAAGCATGGAGTTGTGCAAGAGTATTTCAGCCAATGATAGCATTTTTTGCAAGTATGGCAATTTTTGCTGTTTACTCCTACAGTTTTAAGTGTGTATTTTAAAACCTTTCAAAAGCAACTAAAGTAACATGTTACTAAAATGTTACTTTCTAAATAAGCTGTATTGAGTAATGGCAACAAGATTCCAATATATAAATTGTGAACGACTGGTTAAGACTTTAACATAATGTTCTAGGATGTCGACCAGATGTAAAAAGTGTAATGCATACACCCAGCTGCTTTTTGTAAAATGAAAAGATGTTGAGACTTCTTATTGTGGGATTTCCATCATTTTCATGTAGTTTCATCTTCTAGATTTTTCTAAAACCATTGGCCAGGATGTGCAAATCTGACTGCCAACTGTATGCGTAAGTTAAAAGATGGTTCTTAGCCCCCTCCCCAACTTTTGCTTTAAGCCCACTTTTTGTTTCTTTCTCACAGGGCTTGGAAAATTGCTCTCCAAGATGCTAGAACAAATGAGGTAAGTGGGTTTGGTTTGGTTTTGGTGGTTTGTTTCTATTACGTAGCTGTGAAAGAAACTGTCTTCTGTTTCTGTTGTGGTCTGCAATGCTTTATTGTGGCCTGCACCACAGCTTCTGTCTCTGGTCTTCCAGTGCAAGGAGGCCATGGAATGTAGGCTGAGTAGAGAGGGGAAATTTTTTAGAAGCAGTACCTGGACTGTTCCTGACCAATGCTGGTGTTTGTTGGACCTCTTGGGAACCATAGAGCTAGTGTTTGTACTGAATTGGACACAACCCATCTCCGTACTGTAAGACAGTGGTCCCCAACCTTGGGCCTCCAGATGTTCTTGGACTTCAACTCCCAGAAATCCTGGCCAGCAGAGGTGGTGGTGAAGGCTTCTGGGAGTTGCAGTCTAAGAACATCTGCAGGCCCAAGATTGGGGACCTCTGCTGTAAGATATAAAAGTGAACATCTGTCAATTGAGGCAGAGAGAATGCCAGCCCAGTGGAAAGCACTGATGCCCATAGCAGTTATAGTTGTATTTTTCTGATCTTTATGAAAAGAGGTTGTTTATAGCAAAAATGACCTATGGTCATCCAGATGTTATTGGAGTACAACTGCTGTCAGTCCTAATTGGCGAAGCAAGTGTTGAGAAATGATGATAGTTGTGATGAAGCAACACAAGGGCCATATTCTCCACCCCTTGCTCAAAGGTAAAAAGGAGAGGCACTTTACAAGGAAGTGTCTGTTTCGTGGAAATGTAGGCAGAGAGTGCATGTTTCAGTTTTCAGAGAACAAAGATAATGATCAACTTTCCAAGTAAGGACAGCTGTTTGATAATCTAAGATTAAATTTAGTAAAGTCAGTCCCTAACTCATGTAAAATATCTCCATTTTAGAGCCTTTTTTGAGACATATTTTAACCTCATTAGGTATCTTTTAGTAGACATTGAAATAAATTCCCCTTTCTCATGTACCTAGTTATCAACCTTTACAACATCTTGGGAAGGTTGCATTTAACACTCTTGTAAGTCTGCCAAATGGTGCCAGATGTCAGAGTCTGCCTTTTGTGTATGGAAGCTGAAAGGTGTTTTGAGTAAGAACTTGTGCAAAAAGTCAGTAAAGTACCTGTGATCTGTTTGCACTAGCAGCAAAAGAAAGAAGTAGAACTGGTAACCTAGCCAGACATCTGTTTGCACTAGCAGCAAAAGAAAGAACTGGTAACCTAGGCAGAGGTAAAGAAAGAAAGCTAAAGTAAAATGATGCTTGTTAAGCGCTGTTATGTTGCATCGAACTTATGGCAACCCTAACAGGGACTATATAGTAGGAGCTTTCCTCTCTATAAGACATCGCTTACGAAATAATTTTAAAGAAGGCCAGGCATGATGGTTCATTCTCTGCTTAGATGAAGGCAAAAGGGCTCACATTGCTTATGAGGACAAAGGAGACAATGTTGAAAGCTGACAGTGGGTAAAGTTGGGGCTTTTCCTTTTATATGTGGGGCTGACATGAATAACGTAGGGAGCTCTTGAAAATAACTTCCCATGCAGTAGCATTAACTACCCATGTTCCCATAGCTACTGAATGAATGGAAGCTTTTGAATAGGATTACTGTCTTGAGATCCCTTTTCTTTTTAAAAATTAAGACATTTGTTGCAGAGTTGTTGCTTTTGCTACAACTGTAATCTGCATGTTTTTTGTTTTTTTTTGCTAAGGCATACATCATTCAGACATACCGGTGTTACTATGACACAGCTGAGGTCTGTAGTGCAGAATATTATTTCAGGAAGCAAGTTTCCTTCTCCAAAAATACTAATTGGCAAAATGCCTTTCATTATGATGGGCAAGTATATGTGAAGAGGAAGGGCCTGTGTGATAAAGACACATACAATATATTTAAGTTTTTAGAAAAAAAATCCCTATGGTTTCCATTCCAGGGCAGGGGGTGGTGGTGGAAATCCTATCAGTTTGTCACTGCATTCACCAAATCATTAAGCTTTTTTATTTAAAGGGGAGAGACCAAAGTTTTCTGAAAGAATTCATGGAGGCTCTATGAACCTTGGTGCAGTAGTGCAGCTGTTCTCCTTTTTCATTTATAAGTTGAATTTGCTCAAAAGATTACTATTTTTCTAATATGGAAAAGAAAAACTATTGCTGCCTGCCACTTGTGTTTCCCCGAAAATAAGACAGGGTCCTATATTAATTTTTGCTCCAAAAAACACATTAGGGCTTATTTTCAGGGGATGTTTTATTTTTTACATGTACAGCAATCTACATTTATTCAAATACAGTTGTGTCATCTCCTTCTGGTTGCTGCACAGTGGTGGAGGGTGGGGTTTCACTTAACTGGGGCTTACTTTTGGGGTAGGGCTTATATTACGAGCATCCTGAAAAATCATACTAAGGCTTATTTTCAGGTCAGGTCTTATTTTGGGGGGAACAGGTAGCAGTGGGCACCCCTTCAAGAAAACTCTTATGAAAGTATCTGTGTTTCACTGCAAGTACTCATTCCTCCAGTTTTCACCTTAAGTCTGTTATAGCATTACTCACCTACCCTAATGAACTCTGTGGGTGCCATTAGGAAATTGACCTGACCCTTATTTTCATGGTCTTGTTTCTTATTCCATGGTTTCTTTTCCATGTTAGAGGATAACAGAACTTTTGGCAGCTTGTGTCTATTAGGTGTATATGTGTACCCACAGGTTGCCCAGATTTGATATTTACCTGTGCCTTTCACCCATATAACCTATGGGGGTGCCCAAGTCACTCCCCCCCCCACTGCTGATCACCTACTGACACAGATTGCATTCTGCTGAGTTTATCATCAGCTGTTGGCAGATGGGGACAGAAAGGAAGGGAGATTGAGTGCAACAAGGAAGAAGGAGCATGAGAAGAGTCATCCATATTGGGCCTGCTTCACTTAGCCCATGAAAAAGTTCTTGAGTAGCCAGGAAAGGAGCCATCAGAAAAAAATCAGGAAAAGGGCAAAAGGGAGCCATAGGGAGCCTTGGGACCTAAATTGGGACATAGGAAACTTTTGATTAGTTTTAGTTAACTGTTACTAGCACCAGCTTCTGTCATATAACTGTCATATAAACTAGATTTTGCCCAGTGTCTGCAAAGCCTTCTGTAACAGGGGACTGTATGATGTTTTGCAAAACATTTAATTGGTATCATTGGGACACAAAACATATAATCAAGGTGAACAAGGAAATAATCTGTTTGAGTACTAAAAGCAAGATTAGCTGTAAGAGAGTAGAGAAAACATGCATAGCCAATTTTAGTCTTGGCAGAGTTACTTCATGTGTTACTATTATGCTAAAATATAATCCCCCGTGTCCTGTGATTCTGTTTGCTTCCTGTTCCATTATGCATATTCTTCCTGTGTTTCTTGCATCTTTATCATGGAACAGAGGGCTGTATTTTTGCATTTTGTTCAGCAATGAATGTACCTCTCCCAGGTCATGACAATTATTGAACTGGTGTCATTGGAGAGCAAGACCAAGATCATCCACAAGTCTTGTGTTTCCAGTTACCATCTATGGGTGTAAAAGCTGGACAGTTAAAATAGCTGACAGAGGAAAAAATGATTCATTTGAATTGTGGTGCTGGAGGAGAGGTTTGTGGATCCCCTGGATTGCCAGAAAGACAAACAAGTGGGTCCTAGATCAAATCAAGCCCGAACTATCTCAAAAGGCAAAAATGTTGAAATCCAGGCTATCATACTTCGGGCTCGTCATGAGAAGACAGGGTTCTCTCGAAAAGACAATAATACTGGGAAAGGTGGAAGGCAGCAGGAAAAGAGGAAGACCAAGTATGAGATGAACTGACCCCCTAAAAGAGACCATGGGCTTGAATTTGCAAGAGCTGAGCAGGGCAAATGAGGACAGCACATTTTGGAGAGCTCTCACTCATGGAGTTGCCATGGGCCGGAGGTGAGTTGATGGCACAGAACAACAACAATGCTAATTTCAGCTAGCTAGCTGGTTTAATGGGTTAGGTCAGTGTTCCCCAACCTTGGACCTCCAGATGTTCTTGGACTACAACTCCCAGAAGCCTTCCACCTCTGTT